AGTGCTTTTATCTCTAAACATATTTGTACGGTAATTTCTCCAGAATTTTAACGGATTTGAGTTTCAAATTAGTGTTGGAGTTTTTGAAGCCGTTTGAAACACTCGAGATCGTGTTTTATCAGGTATAAAGATTCTACCTGATAAAACACTCTCTCTCGTGTTTTAAACTATACATAGATTTGTCATGAATTGCATACGACTTTAACTTCGAATTTCTCTCAAAATGATATTTTATCTTGACGTTCTTTCCAAAATATTCTCTAGCTCAATTCTTCAGAAAGCTGAAAATTTGTTCGTCGAGGTTTGCTGGGAGTGGCGGACATTCAAAATGAGAAATTGCGCATGGAATGTTTTGCGAAAAATAGCCATGACTTGACGTCAAACAAAAAAAGTTGCGGTACGACCCCTGTTACACTGCAATTTTCAGCAACTTTAATCTCGGTCGCGTAACACATTTTTCGTAATTCTCTTCCGGTAATTTTTTCGTGCTTACCTTCTCTTGTACTTCTTCGTTCTTGTGTAGGTGTAAACTGGCATAATTCATGGACTAAAGAAAAAATAGTAAGCATGAACGTTCTGTGACGAGCGGCGAACATATTTCATATTACCACGTGAACATAAAATGACAACAGGAGTTCAAAACACCACTATTAGAAGTCTAATGGAAAAAAGTAACCTACATCACAAATGAAATGGCAGTAGAATTTCGTGACAGTACCTGAGGTTCCAATTCACTAAGTGACTGAAGTAATGCAATCACAAGGACGGTGATATGAGGTTTTAGTAGAGATCCCTGGACGCACACACACAAAAAAAACAATCAAATATCAAAGAAAAAGTATAAAATGGATCATTTTTTCTAATATCAGAAAACTTACCGCATTCTTACTTATTTTCAGTATTGTAGATAATCTGTGAATAAATGTAACATCATTATGCTATAGGTTTTCTACCACAAATGCTTTTATGATATGAATAAAATTGAAGAATATCGAAAATCCCGAATTTCTAGTTAATAATAAATCAACAGGGTTTCATATTATATATTATATTTTAATCAATACATGTATGCATGCGTCGTATGAACCAGACCTTAGCGTTAGAACGTTTTTTGTAAAGTTGTTCTTCTGTTCAATGAATACTTACGCGATGGATCGGACATCTTCGGCGCCGCTTGCAAGTCCTTTATCAAGCAATGTTGGCAGGACAAGTGCAATTGCTTTCTCACCGAGTTTACCATGATTGATATCACAAACTTGTATAGAAACCTAGTGAGAAAAACCAGCATGTTTAGTATACATGTGTACGAATCATTTACAGAGAACGAGGCAATTCATAATACCTTACTAAGTCTTCTGCACGCCGCGTCAGCAGCCTGTCGAACAGTTTCCTTTACAAAAACAAAGAGGAACCCCATTGTACTATTGTATGCAATATCTATACTCTGATTAAACACGAAAGAGGAATCTTGAGTGCGGTACTTGGAATACAGCGTTGGGAAAACTAAAGAAGCGAGAGGTGAGAAAATTGTTCTTTTAAGTATGGTGCCTCTGTTCTTTATAATGCAATGGAGCAATTTATTTGCATGATTTTCTACTTCTACCTTTTCTTCCTTTTTCTTCATGTTATATGAAGATTATGCAGTATGTGCGACGTCAATATCGTGTCTACGACTTGACCTTGCTTGTTAGTTGTACATCGTCAATTGGAGGTTTCATTTACGAGATGTAAATTGCTTTATATGTATAACCCGCTACCTACAAAATAACGTGCTTTTTACCTTGATATCGTCTCTTGCTCGTAGACACAATTCCCACAAACGAGGTAAATACTCGAGGATGTCCTCAATGGCACGACCACTCAACAGGTCGCTTAAGGCCATACAACTAAAAACCAAAATACAACCTTACTTCTCAAGCACTGTGGGTTGTGGTTCATATTTTTTTCACAGAAAATCGAGTTACCTTGACTGCCTGACTCTCCATAAATTGCTRTTTAAATTAGAAACCAAGTCATCAAGAATAGCTTTAAGGTATTTGTCGATCTAGATTGAGATCAATATAAAAAATCAGTAAATAGAACGATCGAATATAGAACATGAATGGAAGGTCTAAGATGGGAGGGATAGTTGGATAGCCACAATCTCCGCCAATATACTTGACACCTTAATCGTACTGTTGTTTTTTCAACTGTCACAGCTCACTCTTTTCAAAAAAATTCCCTCTGCATCTTTGAAATCCCCTTCCTCTATTCAGTGTTTGATTGTGACAACACCTGAATCGCATTGGGTAAGGCACCATTGAAGCGGGGAAGGGGGCTTCAATCGAGAGCACACGAATAGMGGAAATTTTGGCGACGACTGCATAGCATTAAAGTCTCCAATATGAAATAATATTCCAGTAAACTAAGGCTATCATTGCAACTTTTACGTACAGTTTTCTTGGATTCTGGGACAAGTGCAGCCCAAATACTCGACATAGCTTGCTGGATTCTCATGCTAGGATCATACTGATATCTAAAAAACAACAACAACAA